ATACATAGATATTTGCAGCATAGGAAGCTAGCTATTCAGCCCATCCTGACTGCTGGTTTCCTGAAAGAGTTATCCATTTAGACCCATTATACACTGTCCCCAACTCATAGCATTAGGGATGTGGGCTCAAGCCCACATTGGGAGTTTGAGTTCATCGTCTCAGATATTTTTAAACTCGACTCATGTGCAACATAAAATAAAATTTAGTCGTAAGAACAAAACATTGAGGTAACTGGACTTTGTGAACACCCTGTAGCCCCAGACTATGATTATCTAACCCAGATTGGACAATCCTTGGCTGCTATTTATCTTTAGGTCCTGATAGTATTTTTTGACTAAATTGACAGAGACCTTCTCTGGTTTGCTCTCCTCCGTCTTCAGATGCCATCATAAAGCAGTACTGGAATATTTCCTCGTATTCTTCATAATGTTCCATTGTGTGCAAACTACCTTTGTTCTCTATTTCCGGAGTCCTTTTTTTTATTTAAAGTTCTCCCTGTGTTACTATGGCAATACTTAAACGGTGTCATCTGCACATTTTCTTTCACAGCAGCAATCCTTCATCCTTCCTCTCCTCTCGGGAGTCACTGACTTCCCCTGAGTTTGGTTCGACAGGAGATCTTTGCTTCTTCGCTTCAGGCTGGTAGATCGCAGAGAAGCTCCACTTGACAGTGAATAAATGTGAGGGACTTTGAGACATTTTGCCAAAGTGAGCGCTAAATAACATATTATTGATTTGTTATTCACAATGTCATTGGAGCAATACAATACAAAATTATATTTGTACAGCGCCTTTCACATCGGGGGGAATGTCCTGAGGCCCTGGACAGTTAGGAAGTGGGACCCGAGCAGGGGTTTGGGATCGGGGTGGGGGTGAAGGGGAGGAAATGGGGAGGGCAGGGAGGGGCGGGAGGGCAGGGAGGACGGAGGACGGGAGGGATTGGGCAGGGAGTGGGGGGAGGGCAAGGAGGGGGGGAGGGCAAACAATAACAATTTGGACTTATATAGTGCCCTCCACTCAGGGTAGTGTCTCAGAGTGCTTAACAGTGGTGGAGCCTAACTCCGAGCTGGTGGTGGGGGGTGGGGGTTGGGGTGGGGTGTGTGTGGCCGTAAGCACGTTTGAAGAGAAAAGTTTTCAGGCAGGATTTGAAAGAGGCAAGGTGAAGGGATTGAGGGAGAGTGTTCCAGAGTTTTGGGGTGCAGTGGCTGAAAGCGTGACCTCCAATGGTGGGGCAGAGGGTGCAAGGGACGAGGGCAGAGAGGGGGGAGGGCAGGGAGGGTAGGAGAGTGGCCGAGCATAGGTTCTTAAAGGGTGGAGTTTGGCACAGAATGGCAGCCCCTGGACACCTCAAACCCAACAGGTCTGGACCAGGCAACAAGGAACAACTGAGAAACCCCAGTTAAACTAAATAATCCTCCTCCTGTGTTGTGTGAATCCCCAGTAGAACACATTTAATGTTTAATGCAAAATTTTGATTTTCTTCCCGATCCACTTCACAATATATTCTGTGAAGCGCTTTGAGATGTCTCAGTGATGCGATAAGCCGCTCTATCAAATGCAAGGGTTATTATTGTTATTATTTTGTTCTCCCCTCTTCTTGATAAAAAGGCTGGTGGGGTTAGTGAGATTCCAGGCTCGTAACTGCTCTGCTCTGTTTCCTTGCTCTTCTCCCCCCCCCCACCCCCCCCCCCCCCCTTCCTCAGGGCGGAATAACGAACTGAGAGGAAGAGATTAGATGATGGTTTTTAGAATATACATACGACTGTGTTAAATGATTAAGGGGGAAACATTTAAGGTTCTTTAGTTGTGTGGCTTTATTGTGGCCTCTGGTTGACTGAATGGGGGAAGATAGTTGAGTTGTGAGCCAGCCAGAACTGAACAGCATAGATGCAGAGTGATCTGATGTCGGATTGCTATGGCAACAAAGAGTTAGGCTGAGGCAGAAGGCAGCAGTCCAGTTGTTTTTACAGAATGTCACTTGGAAACAAATATCAGCACTTGAGAGCAGAATTAGAGGGCAATTCTGCTCTAAATATACCAGAAGGAGATTAGCCGTACCTTGTGTCTGATCTTAAGCCTCGGATTATATTGATTCCCTTGTGCGTTGTTCATGGGCCATGTCGTGTCTGCTCAAGGTACAAAGGTTTATTCAGCGATGATGTACAGTAGCAGAGTATTCAGTGAAATGTAGTTCCCTGAGTCCAGGTGGGCGGGCAGAGGAAGACCGAGAGGGTGGTAAGTCCAGAGGATATTGGTGGATAGACATCTGTGCAGAAGAGCAAAACCACCTCGGATGGAGATTCTGTGTTACAAATGCTACACCCACAGTAATCTCAACATGAGGAAACCATTCAGCCAGTAGGGTGCTTCCTTGGCTTTTTCCTAGATCCAAACTTCTAATGCTTTTTCCTTACCTTCCTCCATACCTTTAATGCTCAATGCAATGCACGTTACAGAGACTCCTCCAGATCAAGGAATGGTAGATTGTTATGTAGTGTCAACCTGGCTCAGTGGCAGCGCTCTCACCTCTGAGTGAGAAGGTTGTGGGTTCACATAGTCTCAGCTAATACTCCAATACAGTGCTGGGCGTGTGTTACATTGCTGGACGAGACTTTAAACCAAGGTCCCATCTGCCTATTCTTGGGGATGTTAACGATCGATTCTGACTCCTCTTGAGACTGAAAGATGGAGTGTCTTGGATTCGAAACTAAGCATAAATTGCCACTTGACCTTTGTCATTCGCCATCAGCTTTAATCGGCTGCTCTCAGTCTCGCCCAGTTCCTCCTGCAGTCATTCACCCATCAGATACATCCCTACACAGCAACCATAAGAGCCTTGAATTTAAATTGAAACATTCGCTTTAAATTCAATTTGGTTTCAACAACAACAACTTGCACTTATATAGCACCCTCCACGCAGGGTAACGTCTCAGAAAAAGCATCTAGTTTTACAGTTGTTATGTCGTTAGCTTAACAGTCCATTCCAACTAGGCTACAGATGAACTGTAAATAATAGTAATCCTTGCATTTGATGTAGCGCCTTATCAAGTCATCAAGATGTCTCAAAGTGCTTCATAGGAAATACTGCAAATTGGTTTTGACTATTTTGTGGGTGAAATGCAACAGCCAGTCTGCCCTCAGCAACGTCCCACAAACAGCCATGAAGTGAGTGACCAATTTTATTTTGAGTGTTGGCCTGAACACTGCGAGAAACTTTCTTCCCTTCATACAGGCATACAACATTTTAATTAGGCCTGAAAAAGCAAAGTCAGGTCAATACTTTAAGATGTCAAGACAGTTGAGAAAGAGGACATTGATTTAGTAAAGAGGAATTTCAGGACAGAAACCAGAAAGTTGTATGCAGAGGGTAATCAACAACTGGGACAAGTTGCCAGGAAAGGTGGTTATAGACCAGTAATAGGCCTATGGATTGGAGGCTTGCAATCCTGCAGGTAAATTCTGTTGTGCATCTGAAAGAAATTGGCTAAGATGGTGTCAAGGCAGAGAAGACAATTTTTTTTGACAACATAAAATATGTTTGTTCTCTTCTTCTCCTTCAACCCCCCCTCACCCCCAAACCCCCACTCCCTACTCTAGCCTTGTAGCTGGCTGTTTGATCATTGTGTCTGCCTCTGCTGAGCTCTGTGTTTGTGGCTTGTGGCTTTAGCTGATCTAATCTGACACCTTGGTGTAATTCTCCAGTGATGGTGTGTGGAAGGATGGCTGTGTTGCAGAGCTGCTAATAGCTGCTGGACTCCTTGCAAAGATGGCCTGAATGCTCTGACCCAGAGTCCATGTGGGTGGTTTTCAGTGTTTTTTTGGCCAGCCTGGAGCTACACATCCTGCTTATCTAATTCCAGAAAGTATTAGGCACTGAGGCAAGAGCGTGGCAAGTGTGTGTGTTGGGGTGACTGCTGGAGTCTAACCAGCTAAAACCGCATAGCTTGTCATTAAGAGCACTGCCTGAAAATCTTTTCTGCTGCTTGTCCAGCTTGGACCACCCTAGGCTGAGCCAGGCTGGGCTGTACTGTCATCAGTAGTGCCCCGGTATACTGCAGACCCGCCTGGCTCAGGAACCAGACTCAAGAGACCACCACAGAGGGCTGGCTCAATTCTGACATTCCGTTGCCAGGCATGTCAACTTGGAGCCAGTTCAGCTCCCAAGTTGTTTCTGAGTGTTCCCAGCAAACGTTTTACTGCTGATGAGAACTGGGACCACAGGCCAACAGGCTTGTCTGCAGACTTATATCAACATATTCCATAGCAAAATTTTATTTACAGGATCTTACAGATGGCTGAACACGAGAAAGGCAGTTATACCGTATGTATTTATATATTCACTCTGCTCCCAATAAGGTTCGAAACTAAAGCATCTCTTTAACTGCAATGTGACTCCGTGGTTTGCTTTCTCTGTGTTGGAGACCCCAGAGTTCCTTGACACTGCTATCCTCAGAGTTCTGGGATTAGATTTTGTATAAAAGTTTAATAATGGACTATCTTTGCTGGTGTTTAACTTAAATATTGCAAACTTCGATGACTCGAGGTGTGATATGTTGACCCTTGTAGTTTGGTCCCAGTACCGGGGGTGAGAGGGGGAAGAGGAGCCCTTGTTCATGATTTGTGGAGTCCCATAGCATAGTGGTTAGCGCGCTCACCTCATAAGCGAGAGGTCCTGGGCTCAATTCCCAGGCAGGGCAAAACCTTAGGGACGTTTCCTTACTCCATACGCCTCTGTTTACATAGCAGTAAAAATAGGTCATTAGTCGATTGGCAGTAATATCCCCTAAAAAAAAATTAATTGCTCAATTCACGACTGTTTGTGGGTCACTGCTGCATTTCACCCACAAAATATACAGTCAATTCACTTTGCAATATACTCTGTGAGCTGTCTTGAAGATTTAATAAGGCGCTATATCAAATGCAAGGATTATTATTATTATTTTGCTACTTGTATGTGTTTTGTGCAGTAATATTTGTCTTTGTCTCATTTCTCTCACAGAATAAAGTGGTGGTGTTGGATGGGGTCAAGGTCAAGCTGCAGGTGAGTGTCTCAATTGGCAGCGAGAGGAGCTGGTGATCAAACACCCATCTCAAGAGATCATTTGTGGGTTTGCGTTGTTTCCAAGTCCCACGTGAGACTCGAGAGCAAGGGCTGACTTTTTAATTTTGATTAAGAGACTCGTCGCAAAGATCCTTGGAAGGAACAACTGGAAAGGTTCTATATCGTCTCAAACTTCCAAGAATTGCCGTAGTGCTATTCACAGTTGTCGGGCTTATTCCACATTTCCAGAGAGGAAACAAGATATTTTGAGGGGTAACAGCCTTGTGGAAGCAGATCAAGTGGGTCTCCATGTGTTTCAGTATACCTACAGCATTTTAGTGGCTAAGCCTTGAACCTCTGTGCCTCGCTCTCTTAACCTCAACTTCTCCGCCCCAAATTCTTTTGTCTTGCTCCTTGGCTCTCTGTTGTTAAAAAAAAGTTTCCCTTGATCATGCCTAGGGTCAACAGCCTTTAAATTATCTCTCCCCTTCTCTCTGTTGTCTGCTTCTTATCTCTGTAAAACACATGCATCCTAAATGGAAGCTGTGATGTAAGTGCTTGTTGTGTTCCTTAGTATGAAAACTGCATCTACTCTCATTGTAAAGGTTACATAACTCTTCCTCAGAAACGTACATAATTTGACAAAACGTGTTTACTCACAGGAGGATCACATCACAAGTCTTGGCTTACTCTAACTGTGGCTCCCTTGAGGGTGTCTGTCTCCTGCTGTCTGTCTGGATCTTAAGGAAAATCTTTTGCACAATATCCGCAGACATGTCATCTATCTCCGCTTCTCTTCAGCCTAGAGCACAAGGCTGCCTCCAGTCTTTTCAGGGTCTTGAGCTCGTAGACTAGGCTGACACTCCAGGGCAGTGTTGGGGAAAGCATTGCCCTTTCGGATGAGACATGAGCGGATGTTAAAGATCCTGTGACGCTTCTTGAGTATAGCAGGGAACTTCTCTTGGCCAACAATCCTCCAGGTTAATTGACCGTTCACCTCATGGCTGTTTGGAGGAGGTCTTGCTGTGTGCACCATAGCTGCCCAAATTTCCTGAGAAAAAAACCTGTCAAACACATGAACTCGAGCAGCTATAAAAATGCGAGTGTTTTTTCTCTCTTAAACCTTTAAAATGCTTCACGTCAAAAGTAGCGGAACCGATTTTTACAACGCTGTTTGATTTTTGCTGATGCTGGGTCTTGAACCCACATGAGGCATCCTGCGAAGTTCAATGGTAGCGTAGCTTATTTTTTTGTTTCCAGTTGACTTTGTTCGAGGAATTTACAACAACAACAACAACAAAATTCCATTTATAGAGCGCCTTTCACGTCAGGAGGACGTCCCAAGGCGCTGTACAGTTAACAGAAAACTGCCCAAAGAATTTAAACAGAGAACTGCCCAAACCACCTTTAACTCAACCCAAGCCTATAAAGGCTTTTGTCTTAAAATTTAAAACAAAATTGCTCCATTGCTTTAGACAAAGTGGATTTTCAGGGGCTCTATTTATAATTTGCTCAGAAAACACGATCACTGCACTTTACAGTATATTCTGTGAAGTGCTTTGAAACAGCCTCACGATGTGAAACGTGCTGTTTCAAATGTTAGTGTAATTATCTTATAAATGTTTCCTGGAAATCGAGTTATTTCTCAACAAATTTCAGTGACCCGCTGAAC